TATACAAACACATGTACATCACATATACATTATTTTGTGTCTTTGGGAGACCAATGAAGTTTGGACTATTGTTATTGACTTTTTTATTATTTGTTTGCCTCAATAATTATAAATTAGTAAAAGAAAATGACTTGTGATGGCGTGGAATGATAATCAATCAATAAACGAAGATAAAATAAAATATAATTAAAATTGGGCATTTTACTATATTCTAATATTGGGCATTTTACTATATTCTAATGATTCGATTATAAAATTAAATATAATTAAAATCGGGCACTTGTGATAGTAAGATATACTTTATCCGTTCTATATTTTGTATTCATGTTTGTCTCATATTTCTAATTTATCAATTTTTCTGAAAAAATAATTATATGATTTAATTATATTTTAAAAGTTTTAATATACATATATATATTTATTTTAATTTATAATTATTTATATTGTATTATAATTATTTTTTAATATATTTTTTTATTATTTATTAATTATATCACTTCTAAAATTTTGCATATATATTTACAACACAATAAGGGTGTGTATGGTACAAAATTGTCTTATTTTTCTTGTTTGGTTGAGCTAGAAAATTTAAAATTGACAAATAATAATTCTATTTTTTTGTTATATATATAAATGCAGAGAATTGTATATTGATACATTATATTTATATTTATTTTTTATTTTTTTTGAATAATTTAATCTGTATATGTTTAAATTATATTATTTCAATCTTATAAAATATCGTATTTAATTTATTATTCAAATATTCATTTTTTTTACAAGTTTTAAAAATTACAATAAACTTTGATCTTACAAAATATCGTATATTCCCTTCGTCCAGTTAGAAAGTACAAAGTAAAAATTTCATTAAATATTTCACTTTTTTCCACAAAATATCCTTATTTTAGATCACATCATTACTTTTACAAAAAAAAAAAAAAAATGTCATTACACTATTTTTAAACTACCTACCCACTGTAATTAAAATACAATTATTTCTTAAACTCCGCGAAAGTAAATGTGTACATTGTAAGTGGACAGAAGGTGTATAATTTATTATTTAAACAAAAAAGAATCATCAAAAATATTTTATTCATGAATTCTTCCTCGTTAAAATATTTTTTCTTGTCCGATTAATAATTTATTTTTAATTAATTCATCCAAATAACTATAATTTTTTTCACATTTATCAACTGAATTTTCTATTTTAGTAATAAGAAAAAAATTCTTATTATCTACTAAATTCTTTTTGACTAAAATTGTATTACATATTCTTATTTCTCTACAACTTCATTCTCTCTATAAAAAACCGCTTAAGTGAAACGAAACCGGACGTAGCAATAACTAAGAATCGTAATTACAATAATGACTTTGGTAGCTTTTGGATAGCTAATATGAGTTGATGACTATTGATCAATCACAATATCCTATGAATATTTTAAATGAGTATTATTATTATTATTAGATGTTTTTGTTAAAAGTCATTTCACATTTTATGTTTTTTTTTTTTTTTTTATGAAAAAAAATTATATACTCTAATTTTAAAATTTCAAATTTATATTTTTCTTAATTTTAATTATATTAATAAATTATTTTAATATTAAACTATAATTATTTTTATTATATTCACTACAAAAAAATAATATATTTGTGACGGAATTCCGTCCCTAAAGTTCACGTAGCTAACGTAATTCCATTACTAATTCCGTCTCTAATGTCATTAGTAACGGAAAAAATAGATTTAGAGACAAAATAATTTTGTTACAAAAATAATTTTTTCTTGTAGTGATTGTAAATAATTCTATTAAGGTATTTTTAAATAATTACTAATTTTTACACTCTTAAATTTCTGCGTCTATAGTAATAACTGTAAGATTGTTACCGGAAGAAGTAATTATTACAAAAATATATATCTTCGAACCATTCTCGATTATATATATATATATAATAATTGAAATTTTGGCTCTTCTGAATACTTGCCAACTCAATTACATATATTATTTGTATTGTTTGGTTTATAACTTATTATCATATACAATTAATTCATATCATGTACTCCCTATATCATAACTAATTAGTTCACTTTAGCTTATGAACGAATTTTAGGTATTATGTAATTAAAAAATATATTAATAAAATAATTACGATATAATAAAAATAATTATAAATTAAAATTAATAACTCAATATATATTATTAGTGATTTCATTATAAAAAAATATGTTTATATGTTATATGTTAATATAACATATGTAATGTTAATTGAAATTATGTATTCATTGTCTATATATAATATATAATATTATTGATCTAGTATAACTTTCAAAGATGCTTTTAGCTAACATGTATTGTGTTATTTGAAAGAATGTATTATTGTTCATCTTCTATGTGCTAATCTAAGATATTTCCTTCAATTCGTCTCACTCAAATGATTAATTTTATTATTTTCGTTTATTTCATTAAAATATATCAATTTTTTATAATTATATGTAAATATTAAAATACCATTGACTTTTTAAATTTTAAACTATTAAAAAAAAAGAAGAAACAATCTCATTACCAATTTTGACATATATTACCAACTACACTCGTAGACTTATTGCCGGTCTTGCACAAAAACCACAAATCAGTGCAAAGTTCTTTTATTGGTGTAGAGGAGTACAGTACTGACTATAACGATCATTTTTTCTCATCTAATTTCTATATAGAAGAGACAAAAAATATGAATAGAATAATCATTGGGATGTCTAAGTTGTCTAAAAAATACTTCATTCTATTTCAGTGCAAATGATAGTAATGGTCATATTTTATACAGTCAACTTTAAAGTTGTACAACGAGCCTTGTATGCATAGTTGGTGAAAGAGTGTACATGAGAGTAGAGTAGAATTTTAGTAAGAAAAATAATCATTTTGAATACTTTGAAATAATATTCAGACTTCTATATTCTTCAGAAGTGATATTGGATAAGAGAAAATTCGGAGATCTAACGGAAATATCAGACAGCTTGTAGACTACCTTACAATGAGCTAGATTGAAAATCCGTTGGAGTTATTTATTAAGAATGACAAAAGTTACTTGTGTAGGATATTGCAATGTAAGTAATGAGAGAGACTAAATATGCTAGAAGTGATTTGAGTCATTGAAACATGGAGATAGGTGATAGTAAACAAACTCCTGAATCGTTATTTCCTGGTGATATGTTATTATAACCGAACTCAGTAAACAAACACTTTGTGTCATTTATTTTTTTACATGGATTCACATCCATTATTTCGAGACTAATTGGAAGTTGTTATTATTATTACAAGAAAATATCATTTTTATAACGAGATTTTTTCGTCATTAAATTCACTTTTTCCGTTACTAATGATATTAGAGACGGAATTAATGATGGAATTACGTTAGCTACGTGATCTTTAGTGACGGAATTCCGTTACAAATATACTATTTTTTTTATAATGTTATGAGTTTACAATGTGATAATTTTATTCATAGTGTGGTTCATAATATAGTTGCACATTCACTCGAAGAGTTGGTATCGTATTTAGTGTTTGAGGGGATTTCGAACAAGATTATTTTTCAATACAAATATATTATTATACATACAATTAAATTATATATAAAATATAAAAAAAAAATAGCAAAATTTTTTTATATACTTCTACTCATTAACAAAATGTTATTATTTTTAATTTACTTAAAAAAAAAACAACGAAATATATTATATGTTAGTAAAAACATATTTTATTTATCAATCTTATTAGCCTTAATAAGCGCCATGTATATCTCAATGATTATAGTTATGGTGCTGAATTTATAAATCCAGCACAATATTTACTAACATATTATATAATAACAAATAATATATTGATATAATAATATATAACATATTATTTATATTAATATAATACAATTAGAACATGTACATTGAAGAAATATAATAATTATCCACACAACATATATTATTATTAATTTTAACACAAAATATATCTATACAAACATATTTTATCCATATAATTATCAGCATATAGTATCAACCATTTATAATGGCTGCGACTACACTGTCCAATTTAAAATTTAGCATTGTGCTGAATAACACACAATATGCTAACAATCAGCATATTATATTACTATTGACAACACATCATTTATATTAAAATAATACAAATACAATACATGAACTAATTATCCATGATATAGTCTCAAACGACGCAATAGTTGATTTTAGCATATGATATATTCTTATACTCCCTCCGTCTCGGTCCAAAGGGACCCTTTGAGGTTTTTTAATAAATTAAAAAATAATAGTATTTTATTAGTTTGTAGAAGTGTGTAAAAAGTTTTGATATTTTTGCCCTTTGACTTTTTGTAAAAAGCAATTGTATGCAATGATATATTTATAAATTAATTAAAAATTAAGAGTATTTTGGTATTGGTATATGATTAGGAAATTGGTACTTTGAAGTATAACAAACGAAAATGGTAAAAAGAGTACTCTGAATTGGGATGGAGGGAGTACAATATACACTGTAATTATGTACAAATAACACATATTTTTATTACAAACAATACACTGTATATAATAAAGAGACGTGTCTGCTTCTTTACTTGATGTGGGCTGATTTGAACTGTAATTGTTCCCATTGTTCTTCTTAATATTTTTTTCACACACAGTACTTTTTGCTAACACTAAAAATATCTTTACAATTTATCATATATTACATAAATAATATTACATATATATTGGTACTAATAAAATTATTTTAATTTTTTTTATTTTATTTATACGATACTTCGATATAATATTAATATTTTGATGAATTCTGATTTCTCAAATCCGCAACACGAACTTCTGCGATACGGTACTATAAAGAGTTTCTGACCAAACAAACGAACAAACTTTAGTTTTTAGCCGTTAAGACATCATGTTCCCACGCGGTTTGTGGGGTCAACCCTACCCCACCCCATTCTCTCTCTCCTCCCTTTCTCTCTCACCAAACTCCGCGTGAAGAAAGAACTTATTCAATCTAACAGAGAAGAAACTCAATTAAAGAATTAATTAAACCCAAACAAACAACCCATTAATCCCATCCATCGACATTCGACCTTTTCATCTGCAAATCGACAATTCACAAACCCTCTCAATTCCCAATAATTATGATCTTACAGATCCTCCTATGGTGTCTGCTCTTCCTCCTCGGCGGCACCCTATTCTCCCGAAAGCTCAACCTCCCTCCATGGCCACTCCAATCCAAAACCCCGCCAAGAATCTGCAAGAACAACACCACCAAATTCAAAATCGACCTCATGAGAGACGTCTTCAAAACATTCGACAAAAACAACGACGGCTTCATTACCCGCCAGGAGCTCAAGGAATCCCTCAAGAACATCGGCATCTCCGCCGCCGACCACGACGTCGCCGACATGGTCCGCAAAGTCGACGCCAACGGCGACGGCTTGATAGATCTCGACGAGTTCTGCAACCTCTTTGAAGACGATCAAGGAGGACCGTCCGATGCCTGCCACGTGGACGGCGATGATGATGATGATGACGGTGGGGATTTGAGAGAGGCTTTTGAGGTCTTCGACGGGAATAAGGATGGGTTGATTACTGTGGAGGAATTGGGTTTGGTGCTGTCTTCGTTAGGGTTTAGTGAGGGCTCCAAATTGGAAGCCTGTAAGGAGATGATCAGAAAAGTCGACATGGATGGCGACGGGAAGGTCGATTTTCATGAGTTCAAGAAGATGATGAGAGATGGTCTCAAAGGGATCGTCCCAACACTCTCCAACTCAAAGAATTGAACCAAAAAAAAAAGAAAAAAGACGATCATGGTATAATCACACTCCAAATTCTTGTTCTTTCCGAAACCTTAAAATTGTCGAATTTAATTATCATCGAGCACTGTCTGTGTTTGATCGATGTAGGATTAACTTTTTTGTTTTGTTTTTGCACTGCCCTTTTGCTGTTTGATTTCTTAGTTAATTAATTTAGGATCTGATGTTGTAGGTAGCAGTGATACACAAGTTGATATATGTTTTTTGTGTTTTGTGTTTTTTAATTGTACAGATGGAATCAACTGCAATGTTGTGCCAGCTAGCAATTGATTCTCATGTGTAGTGATTTGTCTTTTACTTTAGTATTTTAATTAAGAGCTGTAATAGAAGTTTAGTTTTAGGTTAATTTGGTGTTACTCTTTGTTAGTATTAGATATATTTGGAAACATTTTTTTTTTCTTTAACTAATCAATGTATGGATCATTATTTTATTTTATTTTATTTTATTTTGAATAGTTTGAATAGTTGTTTGATGATATATAAATAGAAGTTGATACGATGTTTTGAATATAAAATAAATTTGTAGTATATTATAAAAAAATAAAAATAATTTTTTGATGTGATATTTTTGAAGAAAAGAAGAATTTGAATAAAGATAAAACACATAAAAGAATACAACCTAAGAGGAACTTTTTTTGTTCAATGGATTTGAATTTTAAAATGGGTTCAAAATATGTAGATTTGAAAAATTTGAATTTGTAATATATGGGAATTTGATCGTTATGTATTTTAAAATCTTCAAAATTAAATAGTTAAATTACAACAAAAAGAAAAAAAAAATGAATCCATTATTTATCTTTTTGTTTAAACTATAATATTCAAAAGTTATTTTTTTGGCACCAAATATATATATTTATAATAATAATTTTGAATGGCATAAAAAATATATATAATTTTAAGGATGTGAAATAGACGACTCATAATTGATTTATTGTGGATTTTAATTAGTATGCAAATAGTAGTTTGTGTTCCAAGGTTTTGGGAAATCTTTTTGTATGTGCCAAGCAAAAGTCAAACCTTGTTAGAGTGCAACTTAACCAAAATTAGATAATTAATTTCTATTTACATACATTATAAATTTATTTTTAACTTTATTTATCTATAATTATAATATTTTTAAAAAATATTACTATATCACATTGTTACTTGTAATCGTACCATCCAAACTAGAAATATGCATATTTTGTGAATGGACCGAGAAAGTATTTATTGACAATAAATGTAAAAAACAATAATCATATTAATATTTTGTTTTACTCATAAAATATGTACTCCCTCCGTCTCATAACAAATATTTATTTTTTCATTTTAGTCTGTATAACAAAGTATCAATTTAATTTTTTAGTAACTGTACTATCTACATAATATTACAAATACCATTACAACTTACAATATATTACACAAATATCATTACCTTTATATCACACATACTAATAAAGTTATTTTAGTCATTTCTACGTTATTTCTACTCATCTAAATATAATACTAATATTTTTAAAACTACGTGCAAAAAATAAATGGATATTTAGTTATAGGACGGAGAGAGTATTAGATATTCAATTTGTTACTTTTTTTTCTAAATTAAAAATATATATATATATATCTCCAAACTATTGTTGGATCAATTGAGTACACATGATTTTTGCACTCTTAAAAATTATGACTATTATTGTAAATTACAAAGGTTGAGATTAATTTATTCAAATTTTAGGGTGGCTTAATTCATTTTGCCATTATTTTACATTAAATTACAGTGATCTAGGTGTTGACTCATAATAATAATAATAATATTAATGTTATTATTATTATTATTATTGATGAATTGATCTCGACATTAGTGCGACAAAGTCTATATTTGGACTTTTGAAATTGAAATTGAAATTGAAATTGTGCATTCCATTTCATAAATGCTACTCTGCAAAGTGTGCCGATGTAATGTGAATACGATCCATTTCTTATGGGGAATATATATATATATATATATTGAAGATGTGTGTTCGTTTTTGAAAGATTGTTGGAAAGTAAATTGTTTAATGTGAGGTATAAGAAATTATGTAAGAAATATAAAAATAAAGAATATAAGTAGTGTATTATTTTTTTTGAATAAGTGTGCGAAAGAAAAAAAAAAAACACAAAAAGAACAAAGCGATCATCTCTTTCGTCCAATATATTGAATTTACATGTGAAATACATTGTTCTAGTACGAACAATGTCACTTCCTGTGTTCCTAAGTCATCAAAAAATAAAAACTAATGTCACTTCAAAACAATAAAAATTTATCAAACTAGCTAGCTGTGTTTATATATATTTGTTAATTGTCTCTAAAAAAATATTTAATTAGCTATAATACTTTTAACGACGAAATATTTTTATAGTTAAAACATGTCATTCAACAATAAAATTAATTTTGTTGTTAAAAATAAATTATATACTACAAAATTAATTTTGTCACTAAAATTATTTTACTAGAAAATTCTATTTTTATAGCTAAACGGTTTTAACTACAAAATTATTTTTCATGGCTAAAATCATTTAGCTGAAATAATTATGCATATTTTGTTGCTAAAATTTTTTTGTCATATTTTTTTATATATATATAACAAAAAGGCTTTAGTTATGAAACTATATTTTCGTAATTATATATTTTTTCTTAAATTTTATTGCAAAAAAATTATATTTCGTTATGAAAGTCAAATTTGTTGATTAAGGCCTTTACCAATAAAGTATATGCGACAAAATTTATTTCGTCGCAAAAACTTTTTTGCTACGAATTCATTAACGTTTGCTATGAATTTTTTTATAGTTAAGTTTCAATTTTCTATACTGTATAGTTATATAGTGTTATAATGTATTGATTTGAATAATCTTAATATAAGTGTCTAATAATGAAAACATTTACTGAATTATTTTTAATAATAATAATAATATGTTCTCCAGCAAGAACAAATTTTTAGTTATAACCATCAATGATTGGCTTTCCTTGTATATGTTTTAATACATGTACTTTTAGAATTTGATTTGATTTTTTTAATTTTAACAGGAATTTAAATGTTTTTACAAGTAATTAATGGTTGCATACAAATTTTTGTAACTATGTAAATTATTCTAACATTTTTTTTTGGTTAAAAATGATTATATTTACTATATTTATTTTTATTTAAAATATCACTTTTAAAGGTAAGTTGTATACTATAAATCACATTCGTATCTATAGCCCCTTCTACAAAAATCAAAATGCAAACACAAAAATAAATACAAAAGCAAACAAAATCTTAGCTGAAAAGAATAATGAAAATTGTATTTCATTATAAGTCTAAAATGTAGACACTTCTCCCATAAATTTATAAATGATTACTAACTCATGTACTGTCTATGATGCTTATAAAAGTAATTCGAACCATGACTCGTGATCGTGATATCATCAGCTTAAAGCCTCAACTCCTTAGGTTTTGTCTGTCAAATATTGTTGGTCTAGTATGACTTACCTTAGTGGGCCTAATTTGCAAACTATTAGAATCAATCGAGAATTTACCCAGAGCGCAATCGAAAAATAGTAGTTGCGGATTCTCCTATCATGGAAATAATAATAATAATAATAATAATAATAATAATAATAATAATAATAATAATAATAATTTGATGCATGAAATATCTATGTAGGCTTTAGGAAATGGACATTGAATAATTTTAGATTAACCCCTTTAATGTTCAATTATGTCTATATACAAAGATAAGATCAGATTAGAAAATATGGAATGGAATGGAATGAAATTCAAGAAGCACTTTGGATAAAGAAAGTGCTCATGCTTGTGTGTATATATCTATATATATATATATGCTTTGATTCACCTTTGAGAAATACACAAGAAAGAAACATAGGAACAATCCACATACAATAGATAATATCCACATCAAATCACACTTTGAATATAATTCCATGCTAGCTAATGTATGAATGTCCACCACAATTTAGTTGACAAATTTTTTTTAGTGATTATTATTTATTTTAGTGTAGTTGAATAGATGCCGGGGTTAAGTCTAACTTTAGAATGAATCGCGTAGAGTGTGTACTAGGGTGTATTTGTTTGGGGGATTGGATTTTAAATTCACTATTGATCCTTTTTTTTTTTCAAAAATATCAAATCAAATATCTATTTTTTATTTTTTATATTATACTAAAAATTAAATTTACATTCAAAATATCACATCAACACCTATTTATATCACATAATACAACTATTCAAATTCAAATTTTTTACTATTCAAATCTCAACCCAAAATTCAAACCCCAAAACAAACACATCCTTAAGATAATCGTAAATTAAGATAAGTGATAGAATATGACACAAACTTTGGAGACTAATTTAAGTAGGAAACTTGGTTATAGTCATGACTAAATCATATTGAAGTATATTGGTATACATGACTTAGTCTGGGACATGATTAAGTTTGTGTACAACCAACTTTTATTTGAATGTATCAAAATAAATCGTTGGTCAAGTCTTCAGTAGCAAACCAATATTACTTGTCTCTAACATTTACGATGGTCAAATTGTTATTTGCAAATATCAACTTCCACGAATAGTTTGAAAGCCTGGAAACCCAATTAGTCTCGTTGATATTCTAACGAGATACCATTATTACAATATTAACTTCACTATGTTCTTTGCTCCTTACATAAATGAATTATTCGTTACTTATTTACAAGCAAGTTCTTTTGAATATCTCCGGAGTTGAATAAAAATGAGTAGAGTTTAATGGATCAATTAGACTATTCATGCAAAAACAATGTACATATTCTTTTTCGGAAATCTACTTGAGAAAACTCTAGATTAAATGTGATTGTTCTAGGGTAATTTCAGGATGAGTGGCCCATTCGAGTACGCCTATATAACCCATTCAAAATTTTGATGTACACGCCCGTGTTTTGTCAAAAACGTCGTGTTTGTTCTTCAATTTTTGTATAAATATTCTTCAAATTAAGGTATCAAAAAACAACACCTAAAAAAGTAACGATATTAATTATTTCAACAAGAGAATTCAAATTCATCCTCATCAAGGTCATTCAAATTCATCCACATCAAGGTAATTCAAATTCATCTACAGTAAGATAAGTCAAATCCGATCCCACAATAATATAAGTCAAATCCAACCTCATAATAAACACAAGACAAATCCATCCCATAATAACGAAAGACAAATCCAATTACAATAGCATATATCAAATCCAAGTATGCCCCTAAATCACAATTTCTCTTAATGTGTCCCACTTGATGTTTCACCTTCATTTGTTACACTCATTCTAAAAGTTAATTTTCTTACATATCTTATACAAAATGTAAGAATAGATTGTAATTGAAAAGTCAATCGATGTACCAATATATCAATAAACAACATAAGTTACGTACCGTTAACTTTGCGATGGAAGCTTGTGGTATAGGAGTCTCAACTTGTTGAGTTTGTGAAGTGGAAATACTTTGACTTTATGTCAGAATATCGCATCTCTGCGACAATTCCTTAGCAAATTGCATCCCGTCCGTCATAAAATTTGACTCGATCAAACCTGTTTTTCTCTTTTGACAACCCTTGAAAGTATGCCCAACAAGCCCACAATATTTGCAAGTTTTTCTTACTTTTTGTCTTAACAAAGTACTATCATTAACCTTTTTTCTTTGTGAATCGACCTTTCCCCATTGTTTAATTGGGGTCACGTCTCCTAGCCTTCTTAGGCCTTCAAGCAGTTTGTCTAACACTAGGAGGAATTGGTGGAGACAATTCAGTTTTTGGCTATATTTTTTGACCATCCATTGCCCCAATAGAATACGAATACATTTTAGTAAATGTCTCAACACTATATATTTCGTCAATAAAGTCCTCCGGATTTAATTGTTGTCAACATATAGCACTCATCGCATGGCGACATGGGATCCCACATAACTCCCATTTTTTATAACTGCAGGATTTTTGTAGAATGTCAACAAAGAATCGATTCTCATCCGAACAATAAATCTCGTAATGCCAATCATCGACTTTAACGAGTGCGCAAGAAGAAGCTGCTATAATGTTTTTCTCCATCATTTTTACTATTTTCGGGCAAAAGTGCATATCCCCTCATTTTTTATATGCCATCTCCCTTCACTTCTGAAGCCGTGTTAATAAGTATCTTTTAATCCACTCTAACATCGGCAATATCGACATTTCTTTTGCATTTAATATTATACTATTGAATGATTCACATAAATTGTTCGGGATCATATCACATTTAAAAATAATAGCAAAATGTAATCTTGACCACTGAGACGGTGGCTTGTCGGCAAGTCAATCAATGCATTCCGGATCCAACTCTTGAATTTCTTTCATCACCTCCTCAAACTCAAGGACAATACTTGCATCAGCAGCCATCCAAATAAATCTTTTATATGCAAGACCTTTAAATGCGATTGTTTTCATGTTTCTATACAAATTCCGAACACAAATATTTTTTTCACATTGAGGGAAAATCTTTTCCATGGCCAGCACAAGACCTTTTTGTTTGTCAGATATAAAAGTATAATCATCGTACTCTATGTTCAAATCTTCTCTTAACAGAGTAAAAAATCATTCCCAAGCTTCACGGGTCTCACTCTCAACAACAACATATGTGAAGGGATTCATTCATTGTTGGGATCAATTCCAATAACAGTTAATAGAATGTCTTGACAAGAACCTTTTAGATGACAACCATCAATCTCAATGATAGGTCGACATCCAGACTGAACCCCACGCACAAGTGATTTCAAACATATGTAATACTTACTAAATCTGCATTGTTCATTCAAAAATTTGCCTTCCAATTGCATCAAAACAGTTGAGCCAGGATTAGACTGTCGTAAAGCTTCGGCATAGTCCCACAATTTTCCATATACCTCTTCGGCATCACCTTCAATTACTTTTGGTGCCTATTTCCGCGCTTTGTATTCTTGTTGTTGGGATATATTACATCTAATTTTTTTGTGACGCCTGTCCTAAATTCCTTTATATGTCGTTAAGGATCCGATCGAAATAATGACTCATATTTCTTTGCAAGCCATGTCGACTTAACATTCTTTTATATTCAGGTCGCATATAAAATAATGGTTGCAATAATATGTTCTGAGTTGAAAAGATGTTTGATCATTCACTTTTAATGCGTTCATTTTCCAATTGCAATTCTCAACGGCACATCGGACATAAACTCTTCTTGTATCATTTTTGACAAATTTCAAACTTTTTATTGTCTTGATAGCGTGATTTTGAACCACATTTTTAAATTATTTTTTCGAGCTAAAAATTATTCCAAGACTAAAAGTGGGATCATACTTTGACGCTGGATCGTAAATGACATATGACTCTATCTCATCAACATCGGACTCGACAAAGCTGGTTAAATCTTTTTCTTGAGAATCACCAAGTACATCTCATATTTAGAATTTTGGTGTACTACGACTCTTTGATTTTCATTAAACTCATTCATATCCACATTGCTCTCAAACAATGACCGATCAATCCTATCATTTTCCGAATCTTGTTCTTCCATTATATAATCAGAATCCTCAAAATCCGATTCATTAAGCATTTCAGTTCACTCATCTTCTTCTCTAATTTCATTGCAATCTAAATGTATATCTTCATCATACATTTCTTCAACACCTTTTCCCTTATCGCAATTCATTTCTGTGATAATGAATTTTTTTTCTACAATACAAATTATAATATAACACATATTCAATACACTAGTTATAAAATACAAAAATTTATGCATTAATCAATAAAAAATACATATAAAACTTATCTCTATAATATTCATATTTTTTCATACAATATAATTCATTAATCACAAAAAAATATATGCTACACATATTAACATTTTTTATGTCATAAAATACAAAAAAAGTGAAGGAAAAATTTAATTTAAAATTTGCATCTTTACTTCAAAGATGATAAAATATAATAGGTGAAATGTAGGGTTGAAATATTGAAAATGTGGAGATAGAATATGGGGTTGGAATGTTGAGAATGTGGGGTTGGAATGTGGGGCATTTGGAAGAATATATGTTGGTTGTCGGCTGTGTTGGCTGTGTTGGCTGTCTTTGTTGTGTTGTGAAGTGGAGACATATGGGACTAGGGTTTTTAATGTGAACGAGGTCAAACACGGCCGTGTGTACATAAGTTAAGATCAAGTGGTGTTCTAAGTTTGAATACAGACGTATTCTATGTAACACGGCCGTGTTCGATCCGACTCAACTGTCAGATCAGCTTCCGTAACTGTTACATCAGCACAGTCCATTAAAATTTGAATGGTGAGACTAAAAGTGATGATTTGTGTGGAACTAGTTTTGATAAACTTTTTTTAGTGGGACCAAAAATGAAAAAATTAGTTTTGAAGGAGACCATGATTGATTTTTTTTTTTTTATTTTCAAAAAAAAAAAACGACGTGAGAACTTGCAATGTCTATTTTTAGGTAAATCTTCGATCAGATCTAATAGTTTGCAAATTAAGTCCGGCAAAATAAGTTAAACTAGGTCAATTATGTGTGACAGACGTTCAAGGTTTGAACTCATGACCTTACGATCACGAGTTCAACCTACACCATTATGTCATTCCTTATCGGACAATTTTGTACATATTTCTTATTAATAATGTAGTGAAGTCATTGAATAAAAATTATATTGTGATTTTTGTATGTATCTTAATTAAGATATATGTGTGTACGTGGTTATCACCGGATTTATGATGTTTGTCTTTAAATGTACAAAACAAAAGTTAGGTGTGGAGATTGCAATCATCCAACTAACTTTTAATTCATTCAAATATCATAAGTTAAACACTATTTATTTCTTTTCAAAATTTTATAATTTTTAAGTGATTCAAAATAATAGTTTTGTTTACCCAACCTACTTATTGTGTGGTACGATTGTTCATTAATATTTTTTAAAAACTACAATATATACATATTAATACAATGTATTAATAATGTAACACAAAATATAATTTTTTATATTACCGATACAATTTTCAATTTTTCATGTCTAATATAAAAATACATTCATGAATAGATATAAAGTGAACACATCCAAAATATTTTAAAAACACAATTAAACCAAAAAAAAGTTGCCAAACCATTCATTCCCACCTCGTGGATTGTCGAGTAGAATAAAGAATGGCCTAAGGTTTGGTGTGCTAATGATTCAATCAAAATTCGAAACTTGACCAGGAAATTAAAGAGAGATTTGTTAGAAATAGTGTTGACATGGTAACAACCATGAAAGGCTAAGAAAATAAAGTGGTGGTTAAAAATTAATTAATTAATTAAAGAAAAAACTTGTCAAGTTTTACAACTAATTTTATTATTCCAACTTTTTTTTTCCTTCCAAAAACATCAAATCAAACGCCAAATTTTTATTTATTTTATTACACTAAAATTTAATTTTACATCAACACATATTTATATCATATGAAACAACTATTTCAATTCAAAATTTTACTATTTAAAATCAAAACCCAAAACTAAAATCTCATAAGTAAACAAACATTATTTTGACAGCATCTGAAATATAAGCGAACATCACATTTAGTATAAACAACAACAGGGGATTTATATTAATATAAATATAACACATAAATTGAATAATAATTCACAAAGCATTTAGTTTTGCAATTAGTGACAACACTGAGTTTCAAATTTCAGAAAAGACAAAATATCAGTTCATTTCTATTTATGCCCTATGGTGCAGTAGGGTAAAGGAGAAAAGAATGAAGATAACAAAAAAAAAAAAAAAAAAAAAAAAAGAAGAAGAAGAAGCTAGGCAGATATAATGCGGATAGAACCAAAAAAATTAATAAGATTATATGAATTGTATTATTTTCGATAAAAATTACATATATTTTTTAAAGACTAAAAGGGCAAATTAATCTCTACATGAACTTTATTATTTTTTACAAGAAAATAAAAACATTATTTTTATTTTTATTTTTGTTACACTAAAAAAATACACAGATTGAGGGCTGGGGCAGAAGCTGTAAACATAAAATATCAAACGCAAGATATTACAATGTACGTACAGCAGCACTTATAGCCATTAACTAACAGACTATATTTTGTCTTTTGCATGTAAATAAGAATTGACTACAACATTTTATAAAAATAAATTAATAATAAAAATAATAATAAAAATCTGCCCAAATACGATAGAAGAGAAATCCAATCAAGAGAAAGTAACAACGGACAGTAAATGAGTGACATTGCAAACTCCAACATTAAACCAACTAAAAGCAGATATCATATGGCCGTCGCAGCCTAAGTATGGGAAATCTAAGGTGCTCATTCTTATTATTTTATAGCTTCTTATGCACCATATGCCTGTCTGTCTGACTGTCTTACCACATACAACGACACCACGGGACCGGTTGGTTATAATAAACTAAAACACATCAGGGTGAAAGCGCCCGGGCAGAGAGTTGCTCTGCTGCGCCTGCTTCAGATGCATCGCAAGAGCATAGTTGTTAACCTGCCCACAAAAATAATCTATATTACTTACTATGTGTTCGTGTCAAAACAAAGCTTCAAACCAAAAGTTTTTGATAAAATACCTCAGGATTGCCAGAACATGATTTTAAGAAGCAATGAAATATGAGCGCGGTTAAAAGATAACTAATGTATCAAGAAATTATGTTTGAAGAATATAAAGAGACCATAGTACTATATATCTATTGCATGTCCCCAAGCAAAGAACAAAAATAAATTAAGTTTTTAAAGAAATAATACTGTAAATTTGAAAGAGGATAAAAATAATGGATGAAACAATAATCCGAACTAGCTGAACCATCACGAGCACAAGAGGAAACTCAGAGCCCATGGGATTATTAAAACCGAGATGACACAAACCCAAGTGAATTAACCAAAAGCAAGTTAGGTTGTCTTCTTTTGTGAGTTTTACCGCAAATTTTTACTATTCAGATTTTTTTCCCATAAAAAATATCAAATCAAATAATTACTTTTCTTTTTTTATATTATACTATATATTTATTTTACATTCAAAACATCACATCAATCTATATTTATATCACATTAAACAACTATTCAAATTCAACTTTTTACTATTAAAAAATCCAAACCCAAAAACTAAAACCCACAAACAAGCACACCCTTAATGAATCTAACCTCTAGTGTTCGCAGTTGCTCCTGGTATTGGGAGACAAGCTGTTTCAGCTGATGCAACTCCTGGCCCATTTCATCGAATTCCTTCTGTCGCTCATGTTGAATGGACACAGCCCGCTTCAAAATAGCGTTTTCCTGTAGGAGGGCTTCGAGTTGTTGCTTCAGCATTGAGTGCTCCTGTAAACCATGGGATGCGCATCAAAATCCTATCCAGTAAGTAGCAGTAGCTTGTACAAAGACCAGTATGATCATTCGAATCACTTGGAAAAATTACTTAAAAAGTCTAATAATTAAATGGTGGATGTAATATAGCTCGGACCAAATAATCAGATTCTTCAACAGAAGATGAGCAAAAACATACAGAAGAACAACGTATACCTTCCGAAAGCCATTAGCTGCCTCAGCGGTTGCATTTTCACGAATGGACTTCTCCAGTACCTCAAGTGCTCGCGACAAGCGTGCCTTAGCATCCTCGACATTTGAAGAACTTAGAACTTCCCCAACCAAGAGGTCCACCCACTCTGCGCCATTAGCAGGCACATTGCTCTGTTTCGGTGGCTCTTCTGCTGAAGCAGTTCCTCCGTTGCTCACTATTTTATACACATTGTAAAATAAAGCACGTTCATATTGCTGAGGATTTAGCTAGGGAAGAAAGATAAGGTTTTGGAGGGGAAAAGGTTTGTGCCATCATGCATCAATAAACAAGTTCAAATGAAAGATGATTGAATTTCAATACCAAATACATGTAATATAAGAAATGACATCACAATTATGATCAGGGAGACGAAGTTTATACATTGGCTTCAAGTCAACTACTGCAGATCATCTTGACTCCAGTTTTCTAATCAACAATTGAAACAGAAATATATTTCAAAAGTTCTTTTCTACACTATCTAAATCTAATTTAGAATCTCTGAGACTATGATATCGTATGACCCATAAATCAAATTTGTCAAAGAAGTAGTTTCTTGTTAAAAAGGGCAGGAGCAGCAGAAAAGCACCAATTGTAGCTGCCTCTTTTCATTTCTGTATTGAGCTTCTGCAGAACTCGAGTATCTGAGGTAGGCTATCTCTATAGCATCCCTTAATGGTATATAAGAAGAAAAAGTTTATCTATCAACACAAATGTGTCTAATAACACCATATTCTACCTCCACTCTTTTACATTTGGTTAAGAAAAGGTAACAGCTATTCAATCATCTCCTTTAAGAAAAAATAAAAAAAGGCCTTGAAAGAATTACTCTTGTTTTCATGTTTCTCCAAATGTCCTAATATGACAAAAAAAAAAAGAGAGAGAGAAAGAAAGAAAAGAAAGTGTGTGTTTAGATATACCATATTCAAATAACACCATATTCTTACCTCCACTCTTTTACATTTGGTTAAGGAAAGGTAACAGTCCATCTCAGCTATTCAATCATCTCCTTTCAGAAAAAAATAGAACAAGGCCTTTAAAGGATTACTATTGTTTTCCTGTTTCTCCAAATGTCCTAATATGTGACCAAAAAAAAAAAAGTGTGTTTAGACATACTCTAATTACTCTTCTTTCCCAATTCTTTTACTATTTTGTCTAATTTGAGATGTACCAAAATTTTTGCAACTTCCCTCCGTTTGTATCCAGTTTTTCCTATTTTACCCTCCTAAATACAATTTATAAAATCATTCAAAACAAAAAGTAAAGGCAAAATGGTAAAAAAACTATCGAACTTATACTACCTAAAAAACCATGTCAAAAGTAAACAAAGCAGACATTTATGGACAGAGGGAGTAGTATTCTTGGAGAAAGTGTTCTCTTCAATGTGTACACTATATATAACCACTTCTATTCATATCAGTTCAACATTTAACTTGAAACATCAAAAGTTTATCTTTTGCCATGTGCCTCCACCCAGAATTTTGCAAACACGATGCAGTAAATTAAAAAGGTTGCAAAGAAAAAACATTCAAGGGTTAACTGAAATAGGAGCAACCACAAATTGGCCAATCTTTCAACTTCCTAACTTGAAGATTATTCATCTAAATGAATAATTTGAACTATCCGAAAGAAAAACAAAGAACTTATTTAGTATGTGGAATGGTAGATATGAAAATGTGAAAAATTAAATAAGAGGAAAGTGGGGTTATTTTCAAGAGAAAAAATATAAGAGGAAAGTGTCGTTTTCTGTCCAATCAGAAGTCATACATAGTATAAACTAATTAACCCCGAGCTATTTGGTCAACCAAGCAGTAACTAAATAAATTATCTTTCAATTCTAATTAGACCATTCATAAAATGTATTAACCTGTTCTCCCCAAGTTGTTTGGTCAACCAATCAAAACATTCAGAGATCGTACTACTTACTACTTAGTTTTTGAAAAAAGAAAAAAATCAAATTTATCCTACGACTAACAGATGCAACAAGAATTCATTTGTGTGGAATAGCTTCCACAGGTATCAGAAGACTGTATTGCTCTTGAACTCAGAACAAATATCAAATTTCCCAGGATATTCCTGGTTTGGGGGAGGTTTTGTTTCAATAGACAGTTAAAGTCAACCCTTTAGAGAGGGCAAAACGGAAAAAAGGCTCAGGTCAGGGACAGGGCAAAAAAGACTTAGCAGAATCTGGCCAACTAAGGCCCTTGCAAGCAGTTTGTCAATCAGCAAACTTTAATTCTAATTAGCAGTAACAGGGATAATTTCAGGGAATTTATTTTCCACTCATAAGAATCAAGAAAGATGCAAGAACAAGCAGATTAATCCTAAAAGACAATTGCCCTGAACCAATATCATTTTGCCTAAAGACAACTAAAATCTTTAATACTGTCAAGACCTAAACAGAACAGCTTGACTTAAAAAGTGCGTATAGCAACTTGAGTTTACTTGGATATATAAAAAGTAACTCTTCGAATGAAAAAAATAAAAAATCAGGTCTATCAAAAGCATTAGCCTGATAGCTAGAGCATAATTTTATGCCCCATTCTTGTTGCAACAGCATTCAGATGAGAAGTTAACATGAATAATTTTGTTAGTTTAATCAGAAGATGCCGACACCAAGCTTCATTACCTACCAATCCTTCATTAACTGGATTTCCTATGGACATATATATCATTGGACAGTATCTCTCTTATCCTTAAATGCAACTGGGTAATCATATGACATATTGACACGATAGCATTTGACCAATCTACACATTAAATAGAAGTGCTTGGACAAATTGGTTCCAGCTAGCTAGTCCAATACAAAAAGAGACATAAGGGACTAAAATGGATGTTGAATACTCAATAATATCAGCACAAAACTCTAATGGTAAATACAAACGAATAGTATTATATAAGAAAGAAATGTTTAACTTAATCCTTTTTATATTATTCCCCATCGGTTGCTTGGCACATAAGGTGTGCTTAAATAAAATCCACTTTCATCAGGAATTAAGCATGGACTAGTAAGTAGTAAGTATGAATGAATTTCCCCTCCCCCTACAAATGGTTTTCAATCAAAAATTGTGTTTACGAAAATAAAAGATAAAAAAAAGTGAAATAAGTCCTACTTAAGGATTTATGGCACACTGATCTAGAATACATTGGTTAAGACTGAAGACAATCATTTTGAGTCAATTGAAATTAAAATCAATAATATTTCCTACTATAATTCTAACCCCCTCTTACAACCCTTTGTTTTCTCTTACTCCTACAAGATGTGTCACAGGCCAAAAGTTAGAACATAGAAAATTTCCTAAAAGAGAAGACTATCACCCATCACTTCCCCACCAGAAACTGACAGTGTCACCCATTATCAACACTGGAAAAACAGGAAGAAAATGGGCTATGGACTTAAAAGGAGATAAGCTTGCCTCAGCTCATCAAAATAGATAATCCACATTCAAGTTTTCTGGAATTGTTTAATGCAAGAGTTTGTCAATGGGCTAGCGCAATTCCATATTCATATTTAAATGAAATAATTAAGTGCTTCTAATTGATCTTCTTTGATCGAATAAACCAAGGCATGCTATATTGGGTACCCTTTCAAAAGCTCAAATCAGTGCTAACAGGAGCAAAGAAATATACATGTTATAGCAAATGAACCACATAAAAGTCAGAAACAGGAAGTAAAAATAATCAAACATACTGAGTGAAGTGAAAACAGCAGTTGAAATAAGATAAAAGCTTAAGCTTCCAGATTCAAGTTCCCTTATTCCCATACAGGTTTCCTACACCATAGTGGCAATGACAGATTTAATTAAATAATTTCTTTCAACATTCTATCATAGCAAGGATATAAGCCTAAACCTGATGTAAGGAAACACCGTATATTATGTCAAAGAATGGATTCAATGGTGGTTTTGAATCAAAAAATTAATGTAGAGTAGAATTATGTACACAGCAGAATTGCTTTCTAATTGAAAATTAAGCTAAAAATCTAGACTGGGAAACGCCTTTGTTTACGATTGCCATATAAAGAAAGATGTCAAAAATACACGTTCAAAAGTTAATACTTGACCAGGAAATTCAGTCATATATCCTTCAATATACTTATGTGGTCGAGCACAGAGCATAAAAGATTTTCGAGACAACAAATCCGAAGTGAAATCACCTTTAGCCGTGAATTGAGGGTCAATTTTATGGGTAAGATCTGATGTGCTTCCTGCAGCACTTAAACAAAGGTCACTCAATCTTTTGATTGCGGAATCCAAATCATCCCCTGTTTCTTCAAGGGCTTTCTCCAGAAACTACAACCCAAATCAACGGAAATTAATTAGTATAAAACATCAGACGGAAGTAGAAAATTCTAGAGAGGTTATAATTGTATAAAAACTCAAATTGAGAAACAAGATTTTCGAGTAAATACGAAACCCTAATTACCATAAATCATCCATACAAATATAAAACCAGATCTAAGAACTTACCACAATCTCCTGGTTATGAGAGCACATTGCCGACGATTCAGAAAAAATAAAATGACGAGTATAGGAACCAAATATCAGAAATGCAAATTTGGAAGCATCTAGATTTTGACTATGAGTCTTCGGCTATAGAGACAACAGTGGTCGGGGATTAAAAAGCATGTTTAAAACTCCACGTGGATCCAAAACAAGACTGACAATAATAATACCATAGAAGGAGCCTAATAGACATAATTAACACCCAAAACACATTTTTAATTTGCACTACCTTTTCATACCAACATTGGGCATTAACATAAAGCCCATTGATCAGAGAATATTATTTATATGTTGATGTTCACAATTAAATTCACGTACTCTAAAATTATTTCCTGTTTCTCTCTATAACTTGCTGTTTGACATCATTTGGTGTGGGTTACAATTCTTGAATTATCCAAATTCTACAAAATTGTTTATCCAAAATCTATGAATATAGCAACTTTGAAACCCATTTATGTAAAATAGCAATCAATTGTAAGAGAAGTATGGCCAAACTAATCAAAGCAACCCACAGTACTTAATGCAAGATGGAGTGGCCTGTATATAGTAACCACAACACCCGACCAATGCAAATTATTACACTACATTTGATGAATTTAAATGATCGTGCATTTCAGACCATAAACCGATATAAATAAACATTGAAGTTAAGCCCTATGCAATAATGATTGTTCATTAATTTCATCATGTTTTATTTCTCTACTTTAACAAGTTCGATGCAACACTTTGATGGATGCAAGCCATGTTGAAACACCACACCTAAGCTCAAATTTTCTACATTAAGCACCAAATTTCATGTTGTTTTGACGGAATGTTAACTCAATTCAAAGAATACAGAAGGGAACAAGCTCTTGAAGTGCATAGTTGCAAGGCCAAACTTTTGAACCAAGATATATGATTTGTTATTAAGCTAACAAATCTGTATGATCCAGCTATTGATATCCTGGGGTGTTTTCAAAACACATTGCATCAATGTTTCACAGTTATACAATGGAAATTAGCCTAAGGGAGAGTTTCGTTTTTGTGTTTGCACTAAGGTTGTTGAAGAAATGAAAATTTCTGGGACTGTAATTAGTCACTATTTCAACAGAAACCTCATACCAATTATGAAATATCATATAACCACAAGAGTTCTGGGGTATTAAGCACCAAAATGAAATTAGGTGTATATATAGGAATGGGGATCACAGACTATTCAAGGCAGTTTTGGATCAACGCAAATTGGCTACCAGGACGGAACTAGGACAAGGGATGTTCCATCCCAATTGTCATCCTGGTTTTTGTAATATAAAATATATTTATAGAAGTAAATTAAAGAATGAATTAATATAGGATGTGTTTACTTGTGGTTTGTTTTGGATTGGCTGTTTTTTTTTTTTTTTTTTCAAGTATATTTTAACAGAAAACAGTCACCAGAGGTACTTTTTTCTATGGGGAAAAAATAATTGAAAAGGAAAATATTAGTTTCAAATAAGCCGGTAATAACAACATTTTAACTCAACTATTATTTATTAGAAAGTAAATTGCACAAGCCCAATCCATGATTTTTAATATATAAAGCTCACAATTTCCTCTTGTTTTTCTCAATAGTCTAGTGTAAGTTCAAACCGCCTCTTTTTTCTTTATGAGCATTAATTTTTATCTCAAAACTGAAAGATTATCTAAATATATTCTATTTCTATTGTTTATACTATCCAAAAATATGTATTTAATGTGATGCAAATAAACGTTATATTTTGAATAGAGAGTTAAGTTTTTTAAGTAACGTTGCAAATGAAAATTCAATATTGGATGTAATGTTTTTTTGAAGAAGAATTTTCATTAATAGTATGAAAACGAAGTTTAAAACATAAGCAAACAAAGCATCATCTACATCAACCACAAAGAATCATGATGGTAAGGTACGAGCCCTTTATATTTTTATTAACCATATTATAGTGATATTAAACTCCAAAAAAAAAAAACAGAAAGTTCAAGCGGAAGAGGAAAGATTTGGTGACAAAAAATCTATAGAGAAATATCCAAGAGTAAATTCAATGTTGAATATTTTTGGTTAAAGCAAATTCATGTACATTTCAAAAAAAAAAAAAGCAAGCATGATGGGGATGATTTGAAAAAGGAAATAATAATGAAGATGGAGCAACGGCTATGAATTATCAAAGATGATGCATAACCAGTTAGGGTATATAACCTAAAATAAACCAACATGCATAAGAAAAATCTACTCAACATTTGGTTTAAGTGCCTACAATCTTCAGCACCTACTGTGAACAACTCAAAACCAGAAAATTCTGCTGATGTGACTTCCAACTAAACTCATAAAAGGTCATCATTCACTAAAACTAAAGGATTTATAGACTAAAATAGTTTTCTTTCTTTTTTTAACAAAAAAAAAACTAAAGCACAATGGGGCGTGCACCAAAAGTATGCCCCTAGATAACATCCCTCGCCACACATAAAAGGACATCATTCACTAAAACTAAAGGATTTATAGATTAAAATAGTTTTCTTTTTTTTTTTAACCAAAAAAAACTAAGCACAATGGGGCGTGCACCAAAAGTATGCCCCTAGACAACACCCTCGCCACACATAATGTTCCAATTGCCATGTCATGTGTGATATTGTGTGCGTCTTATAAATATGTCCTCCCCTGTGAGTGCCAATCCAACACACCAAATACTCAATTCATTTAACAATTAAGTTTTGTGTATACTTGTGTCATCTTTGTTTTTCATTTTGATTTCTATTTTCGCAATATTCAATCAACATCGTGTTTCCATTTTCTCTCCAAAAAAACAAACATCTAACACCTGGTTTTGCAATCAAAGCATCAGATCCAACACTCATTTTCAACTCAAAATTTGCAAAAACCCAAAACAAAACCAAAATACAAGTAAGCATAGCCTAAGTCTTCTGCTTTAGATAACATTAAAATGAGTTGCAAAAGCTAACCAACGCCATGAGCCATCTTCAAATCCAACTCTGCAGAAACCTAAGCCCATCTCTGTTGGGCTTAAATCCAATTGACATCCATGGGGGATCCTTCTTTGTTGTCTCTCAGCCTTTTTTTTACTTGATCAATCATGTGTAATTGAGGTTTCATATCATGTATACTAACCATTTAAGTACTTATCCAACACCTCTATTTTAGCTTAAGTCTACTATTCATCTCTTCAACAAATTTGAATTTGAAAATGCTAAGGGGCTTTTACTTTTAAGAAGCTGGCTTTAATTAAGGTTTGTCTCTGGAACTTATGATATAGAGTCCTCTGATTGAGCATATTTAAGGCAACGAAAGGGACTTATTATCATTGTGCATGCCTTAGTCTCAGGTTCTGCATATTATTAGTACAAATACAAATACCTGTTAGGCCCGGACTTGCATAGTTAGTTTGTCTATCATACTGTAAATCAGAAGCAACTTTCCATCACATGCAACACATAAGCAAACACATTTTACATTGCAACACTCTTTTTTGTCAATGTTTGTTTCTCTATAGTCACTTTACTAAGATTGCGCATTTAAGTAAAATATATTCATACATACTGATGTATGCAAGACTTAAATTATGTATATGATTAATAATGTCAGAGCTCATACAAGGAACCCCTCTGGAATTTCTGTTGTTAAAATGGTGAAAAATGAGCATCACTTAATTTTTATTAAAAAATGAAATATAAAATTGTGAATGAGTTGTTCATTCATTCATTAAAACTATTCGGAAAATGGTAGGTCATTTACTGCTTTATATTATGGTGTAACCTAAGGAAATCTCGGGTTTGTTTGGTTGTGTTTTGGATATAGTAAAAAAAAAAATTGAATTGAAATTTGTTTGATGTGATATAAATAGGTAGTTGATGTGATGTGAATGAAAGAAAATTTCCGTATACAATAATTGAGCGAAAATTCACTGTATAATGTGATTGTTGAAGGAGGGGGTGGTGCAATAAATAGATTACAGTAGATATTAGTACAAATATGAGGTCGAAAACAGAATTAACAAACCCCTACTTCTTATCCAGAGATGAATTGTTAAGAAGATGGTTATGAAAGAATTGAGTGCATAGTATAAAAAGTGTTTATCAACAAACTAAAGAAAGACTCGAACAGTGTGGAGAAATCTCTTTTCAGACACCCAATTTAGAACATAATATCCTAAATAATGTGTGAAATCAAGCCTTCTATTTCAAAGGTATGCATACACATCAAATTTCTGTAAATAATCAAATTAGAAAGAAGCAAATAAATGTGCTTGTTTTATTCCATTAAAATAGCAAGAAAAGTGGCATGTGGGCTGACTAAAAATTTAGAAACATGCGCAAGGCATTAATTGCAAACAATAGAAAATAAGCATACAATAATCCATTATAATCAACTTCAGTAGAAGGTTCTTGTGATCTTCCGATACACCTTAATCTCATTTATTGGCATCATTCTTCTTTAAGTTCTATAGAAGCAACAAATATTATGGATCATAAATTGTAATATGAAACTATAGCAAACTTTCAAAGTTGTCAGGATTATAATTTATAACAACAAACACATAAATAAGCTATCTTTGTTCCTTTCGATTCCTTCATTACCGATTCTATCCAATTATGCATTCATCAAATCCATCTAGACATTTTCATTGAACTACCCTCACAGCTTGTACATTTTCATATACAACCACCAAACATTCGAAATGCATTCAACACAGCTAGTCATATATTTGGCTTATTAAAATCTCTCATTCAATCAGATAGACTCTATTGTTCACAAAAATGAAGGCAAACTTCTCCATTTCTACCATTCATTTCCATAGTTATTCTATCATTAATTTTAGGATCACTAAGGTTCTCAAATACAAAGAAAAGGCATACAACTACATAACCTTCAACCAATTTACCGAAAACTACCAATGCAACAATAACATTGTTTATGCTGAAAAAACGAAGTTAACAACCCTTAATAGATCCAACCTATGCTGAGAGGGCATTCCCATTCTTGAACAAGAATAGCTTAAAGAATTTCGTAAGCTAATTATATGGCGAAAACTCAATAAATTACTGCACATTTCTTATGAACGAACAAGCATACACTAACAGCAATAAGCAAATATCAGCTCTCAATGCTATTAAAGATTTAACCTCACCAAACAATAAACAAAATACGAAAACAATCAAATAGTAGAAAACCATCAAAATAATACCAAACCCAATAAAAATGGCAGCAGCAACAAAAATGTACAAAAGCAAATCCAGAAACAACTACAAACAACTTGGAATCGTGCATTTCACTATTTCATACAAGAAATTATACAAACAGAAACAACAAATCACCTGTCTGTCCATGTCAGGAAAGAGCGCAATAAGATGATCTATCGCCGAATTGGGGACAGAGTAATTAGACGCGGCGGCGGCAGCCCTCGGCGGAGAAAAAGTCCGGCCAGGGGAAGACGAAGACGAACAACGGATTCTCTTAGACACAGGCGGCGACGACGGCGATTCCTCAAAGATATTCGATCTCTTTCCGCACACAACGGCAGACATGTTTCTTCGATCAAGAAGAAATTTCTCTGTCTACTCTGTCTCCAATCCCTCTAAGTCCGCTTCTCTCATGCAGATTCAACCAATTTTTTTTTTTCTACCCAAATTTGAACAGAAGTAGACAAAGGCAAGCGCAAGATCAGATAGATCAATCCGGTGGAGTTTATTCAATTCCGCAAGGAATTGATCGAATGAATCTTCCTTGATTGAAAACCCAGCTATGCGTATATTCTTGGGTAAATCCGAATACGCATATGCCCGTCAATCGAAACCTAGGACGCAACAACCAAGAACCACGTAATTTATCTGACCTAATCGATCATCAGAATTTCCGCCATAGCAAATTTCCCATCGTAATCCTCTTTTGTGGTAATGGCGTCTTTTGGGCAAGGATGACGGCGCTGCGACACGCGCCACGAAGTCGCCTAACAAGGGCGGGCAACGTGGCCGACGGCCGTCCGGTCATTGACACGTGCAAGATTCTGATTGGAAAGGATGAGGGTTTACCATGGATAGGCACGTAGGTGATCTCGCCATTTGGGCTTTCCAAGTGCGTCCACCCGGAAATGGTTGTTTTAGTAAAAGTAGATAATAAATATATTTGTCCGGTAAAAGATGGTTTCAAATACACCTGTAATTAGCAGTGAATTTGTGACGTAAGCTCATCGGTTTAAACTCTGATACTTTCAAATACACCTGTAATTTTGTCCGGCAAATTGAAAGAATGTATAAAACAGAATGTAAATGATAAAATTGTTCTTTTTTATGAAGGTGAATTGAAGTAAATACGTAAAATAGCAAAAAATTCTTAATATAGTTTTATGAATTTTTTGAAAGTCTTTTGTGCTTCTAAAATTCTATAAAATTTATTTGTGATTTCAAAAATATTGCACACCCACTCTCTCTTCTAAATGTCATTAACACACGTTAAATTTTTATTATAATTGACAGTTACGTCCTTATTTATATATTACTTATATCCCATAAAACCTGTCACTATTTGTATTTTCAACTAGATTTTTAATATTAGTATTATATTAATTTATAATAAAAAAGGCAAAAATAAAAATATTTTATTAAATTGTATGATATAAAAATAATAAGATTTTATATAATACTTCCTCCGTCCGTACACAAAGCATACATTTATTTTTGGGGCGGTGTTTAAGAAACAGTAGTATTTTAATTATAGTGGGCAGTTAAAAATAGTGTAATGACATTTTTGCCCTTGTTTTTTTGGTGTAAAAGTAATGATGTGATGTAAAGTAAGGGTATTTGTGGAAAAAAATGAGGTATTTAATGAAATGTTTACTTTGTAATTAGACGTCCCAAAATAGAAACATGTATACTTTTTAGCTGGAAGGAGAAAATATATTGAAAATTACAAAGTAGGTAGTACAATTGCTAAATTATAAAACATACTCTTATTTTATTTTAAAAGAAAAACAAAATTGGAAAATAGTATCGGAAAGAGTATATATATTTTTTTATTTATTTCTCTCTCCATGTCACAGCTATTTTCTCACTCTCTTTTACTTGGGTAGTCTATGTTGTTTCATTTTTTTCTTTCTTTTTCTCTCCACGTCTCCACTCTCATCTTCTTCTTCCTCATTTGATGTGTCCGGAGCTCGCCTTGGCTACGTACGGAGACGGCGAGCTGGTGGTGACGATATCCAAGGGGCGGCCGAAGTGAAGGAGGACGATGACATTGTTGGAGGCGGGAATGGGAATCTTGTGCTTGTATATGGTAAAGCAGAAAGCTTTCACTGAAATCTTCCCTGTTTCGTCCTTTTTCCGGTGATTATTCTTCCAAAACGCAGTTCGGATTGTTATTACGGACATTGACGTCATATTCGTCCGCATTTGATTCATTTTCATTCAATTGTATGCTAAATTCGATTATCTGCTGTGTTGTTCTTTGATTGGATTATGTTGTATGGGCTGTAGGTTTTGGAAATTTGAGTAAAATTGAGTGCGGGCGGCGGAAAGAAGAGGTTGAAGACAGCTGCTGGAAGCATGAAGGAGTGGAGTTGTCGGCAAATTGTGCCGATTTGGATTAAATGAAGAAGATGCCTGACTGGTGGTACGCAGCGGTCATTGGCTAAAGGAAGAAAGGAAATTTATTTATTTATTTATTTATTTATTATTATTTAATTATGTTTTTTTAATATAGATGAAATGGTTAAAATATTCCTCACTCTTAATTAGTATATCTTGAGATCACTCAAGAAGGGCATTTTCATAATTTCACATAGTGAAATATTTATTTATATGTCAACAATGGACGCGTGAGATGCACTCATTTTTAAATCATAACGGAAATGAGGTTATTTTCGTTTTCTACTGACATTTTTAAAATCACGAGTAAATTTTATGGAATTTTAAGATTACGGAGGGTTTACAGCAAATTTGAAAAATCACTTGGAGATTTTTTGCTAATTTTCCAAGTAATAAATACGAGTAGTTTTGAAAAAAAAAAAAAAAAACAAAAAAAGTTGTTTTGTTGTACAGTGGACACTGTTACTAAATAAATAAATAGGACAATTGTTTTGAAACGGACAGAAATAAATAATAAATAAGACAATTTTTTTGGAATGAAAAGAGTAATTAATTCTTTTCGTTAACAAAAATTTATACTTCTTCCATCTCAATGTTGCATTCGTCTCACATCTCACTGTTAATTCCTATCATATTTTTAAATTTATAATTTTTATTTTTTTTAATTTTAATCAAATTAATTTAATATATTAATTTTAATTTATAATTATTTGTATTATATTGTAATTAATATTACTAATCATTTTTAATTATTTATTAATTAAATCTGTCCTAAATATTTAAAGTAACTAAGACATAATATTGGGGATGGACAGAGTATTCTTTGTACTTACACAGATTTTAATGAATACTCCTTTTGCCTCTATCACAAATATTTTTTTAATATTTTAATTTGTATCATTTAAAAGTATCATTTAGTATTATAATAATAGTAATCATATATTTCATTTGTCCCTTCGGATATTATTCTTTTTTTTTTACTCCCTTGCACATAAAATACTATTTTTTTAAAAAAAAATTTAACATTTTTAACTATACTTAACAAATATAAATAATTTAAATTCTAAATCTCTTACATTAAACTCATTCAAAACTCTTTGTTTTTATATATCTCTTTAATAAATAAATATTTTTATCTATATTTAAAATTTCTTATTTTTTATAAAATTAGTTTATGTTATTATAGACAACTAAATATATTTTTTCATTTATTTGTATTATACAAAATTTTACTCTATAAAATGAATTGATATTATATACTATATTTTATTAAGATATAATACTTAAAATATTTAAACAAACACTAGCGTACTTTTTGTACTTTTCATTCCACAGTGATCTTTCTGTGATTTGTTATTCATTCGAACAACAAGTTGATGACAACATCTGAATACAACAAACTTTAAGCGAGAAAATTGTAAAAAAATATTCATCATGTATACCTCATTATCACTTTTATCCTGCATTTATCTCGCTAGCAAAATATATTTCACATATTTGCAAAAGTCGCTATTTATATCATTTGGCCGCGCGTGGTGTGAACGTCACGCGCGGCTCAAGAACATAAATAGCGACTTTTGCGAACATGTAGGATATATTTTGCCAGCGGGATAAATACATGACAAAAGTGATAATGAGATATACATGAGAGATATAAGCGTTTGTTATTAATATCCGCTACATATCTCTTGGTGTTTAGAATTATATTTAAAAAGTGGGAAAACACATCACCAGATATACAATGGACTCTATGACTCAACAAATATGACCACCAACTATCATCTCCTACAGTTCTCTTTGAACATCTATCAACAAAAAACTAGCAATCAAATTGCAGTGAAAGCACTAGCAAATCTCTTATCTCGTTTAACGTAAATGTATTAATGTGTTGATCTTTTTATCTAGTTGGAAAACAAAATTCTCTTTCTTTAGATAAGCTTCAAGTCTCCCTAAACGTTCAAAATCTTCTTAAATCTAACGAGTATGGAAAACAAAATATTAGAGAGAAATTATTTTTTTTTCTCTCACTACAAACAAATCGGTTTTTCATCTTTAAAATTGTCTCACACAGTCGGTCTATACAAAATGTAATATTTATATATCTTGAATCTAGTTTGTTATTTCGCTGGATTTTCACGGAGGTCTCGTTGGGGGTTCCCCTTGCCTGGTGGTCCGGGAGCACAGAGTGGCCTCCAGCCCGACGATATGCAGTATTGGACTTTGGAGTTGGTATCGGGTTGAACCCATCTGATATATTTTCTTAGTTTATTTGAATATACTTAGAGATATGATATCTATAATATGTAACGCAGCCGTCCTTAATAAATTTGTTCTCTGTTTTTGCCCGTAAACATTGCTAACACGTAATTGGTGAATCACGTAAATATGTGTCTTCTCTACATTTTTTGTTTATTATTCAATCATTAATCATCCGTCACAACAAGTAAGCATGCTAGGTTTTTGTAATGCTTGACTCTCCAACATTAGAGAATAAGTTACACCTCCAAATGTTTGAACTTCGTTTTTTCTTCTTCAAACCATCTAATTAAATATGTCCAGAAAAGACACAAAAAGATCTTACAAAATGAGTGTTGATGTAATTTTTCAACAAAAATAAAGTAAAATTCAAAGATATAGAAAATATCCTTAAACTTGATTAATTAGTGCCTGAGATTAGGAATCTCTAAACACTGTATGGTACAGAAAATAAACTGGAAAATAAAAGACTGAAATTTAAAGTGGTGATCCCCAAATCTGACTTTGCTTTGTTGAAGTTGATTGAAGATCCCTTGCCAAATGATGATCCAAATCCTTAAATATTCCCTGGGAAACCGTACTGAAAACCGTCACCCGAACGGTTACAACGTCTCCTTCTCAACCGTCTTCCAACCTTTCTTATGCTGACACGTGTCCCCAGCAGACCAAAAATTCCCTATATTTCACTCCTTGAGCCGACCACAGACCTTCCGCTCTTTTGGCCCGACTGCCAATCTACAATAGTATGGGTCCGACCGCCAATCCTCCCGACTTGCGAACCATCTGGCTTGAGGTCTTTCCGCCTTGAGGACTTCCCGACCTGAAAACCTTCCGACTTGAGGTCTTTCCGCCTTGAGGACTTCCCGACCTGAAAACCTTCCGACTTGAGGTCTTTCCGTCTTGAGGACCTCCCGACCTGAAAACCTTCCGACTTGAGGTATTTCCGTCTTGAGGACTTCCCGACCTGAAAACCTTCCGACTTGAGGTCCTTCCGTCTTGAGGACCTACCGACCTGAGGTCCGTCCGTCCTAATGACTTTCCGTCTTGAAGACCTACCGACCTGAAGACCTTCCGACCTGAGGTCCTTCCGTCT